ACACACACACACACACACACACACACACACACACACACACACACACACACACACACACTTGAAGATCTTGACTCTGAATACATGCGCTACTACTCAGCTCTATCTCCTACTACTAGCTATGCGGCTATGAGCGCCTTAGCTCTCAGCACAGCGCTGCCCAGCAGGGCTCTCGCGCATGCCACTCGCAGATGGAACTAGTCCTTTGGCTTGACTAGTTCCAGCCTCTGCTTCCTTTGGCTTGACTTGGATGTGGTACCACATGCCCACGGCCTGTTTGTTTCAGAATGTCGAGGCCTGGTACCTACACGAATTTCCCTTGGTGTGGTGCTGCTTGGGACAGCGAGTCACGACTTACCATCTGTGAAATGTGCCCCTTTATCTATGCGACATGACCGTTGCCTGTAGAATATGCCCTTTGACTTTGAGACATGACTTCTGCCTGTTGGTCGTGACCCTTGCCTATGGGATGTGACTTTTGCCCCTGGGATGTGACTGTTGACCGGGTACCTGTTGGACTTTTGACTTCTTGGGTACCCGACTTAGCCGTTCTGAAACTGGCGCACTCGGCCTCCTTTAGCCTGGGGACTTGACCCTGAGATTCGAATTTGGGGTCTGCATCGTGGAATGCCTTTCATTCGTCTCCCTCCAGCTCCATCACTTCTCTTCCTCCTCCCTCCCTCTGATTCTTCTTCTCCTTCTTCTTCTTCTACTTCTTCTATGAGAGAGAGAGAGAGACCGACAGAGAGAGAGAGAGAGAGAGAGAGAGAGAGAGAGAGAGAGAGAGAGAGAGAGAGAGAGAGAGAGAGAGAGAGAGAGAGAGACTGTTGAGACTTGATGACATTGGACTCAGACCGATATCTGGACAGAGACATTGGGAGACTATTTCTGGAGACTTCATACGGGTGACATTTTAATTGCCGACGTCTCCGTATTTCTCCCCCTTCGTCTCTTCTCCCTTCTCCTCATCTGTGGGTGCTGTCCTGGCATGGCACTCTTCGTCTATGTGCTCAGCGCCATGCCTTTCCACCCTGTTTGATGATGATGAGTGAGTTGCAGTCTGTCTGCATCATTTTGAGTCAGACCATTGTGTATCAGTCTTCTGCTGCATTGTATTTTGCTCATTCTCCTTGGTCGGTTCTTGGGTTCTGCTCCATGCCCATCTGATTGTCTTTGGGCATGCGACACCTACCGACCACAATGGCTGGCGGCGCCAGCCAAAAATGAAAAAATGTGCACCACTGGCGGTTTGGCAAAGCTTGGCGCGCAGTGGAGCACCTTCAGGCCCGGGTGTACTGGTGGTTTAACGACTGTCTGACTGGGAAGGCAGGCAAGGTAAGTGAGAATTCACTGGAAGTTTCTAATCTTAGCTGGTCGGAGGGAATGTTCTCCTTACGTGCAGGAGCGATGATCAGAGTCTGAGCATAGGGTGCATAACTCCTTCAGTCTGATTTTTTTCGCCTTACCTTGTTTCTTTTTTTTCTTTTTTTTTTTCCACCTTTCCTTGTTTCTGTGCTTGTCTTTTTAAACCACTGATTCAATACAGAATCATCCAGTGTTTTTGGACTTGCCGGATCTTCGCAGTGAACCTTTTTGTCCGCAACCTGCCACCCGTCACAGTGTAAAACACTCCACTTCACCTCAAGTGAGTGAAACTCCACAGTGCTCAGCTCTTTTGTCCACCACTGCTCAAGCTACGAGGAGCAGTGATTGACTGGGAGGGCGGGCGCCGGGCAGGGTATAAGCGAGAACACTGAGAAGCCACTGAGAGCTTCTAATCTGGAGCTGGTCTGAGAGGACATAAGGAGAGAGACTCTGAGAGAGGGTTGACGCCTCAACTTTTTTTTTTTCTCTTTGTTTAATAAAAAGTAGGAAAATGATCCGAAAATTCGGCGAAAATCTATGTTTTTGAATTTTTTCGGAATTGTTTTTGAATTGTTTTGAATGTTTTCCTCTTTTTTTTTTTTTTTTT